CCCCTTGATATTTACCCATGCACTGAGTTTAAGTAGGGAGCAAAGGAACCTTGCCAGTCCAGCACTTTGATGTAAAGCTCACTCATGTGCAGCGACTGACTTTATTGTTTAATGGAAGACCTACAAGAAGCAGACAATGTTTGCTGTGGATGTTTCTAGGCAGTGTGCTCATTTTGCATAGGATGAGGAGGAGAAGAAGAAGGCATAGCGAGTCAGTTGTTCCATTTGCTGAAGGCCAATGGAAAGAAACTCTTGGTCAACAGCGATGGGAGTCCAACTGAGGCATGCTCAGTATAAAGCGCACACACAGGGCAAGAGAGCTCATCATTACATATCCACCCACTCCATCCAGAAAGCTGTGATATTCTGTCTCATGTCATAAATGTATGAAATTATGACTCCCACTTTACGTGCAACAGCAGGTTACGGCGCCCGTGTGTACTTCAGGGAGTTTATTGTGGGTAGGATCCCTCCAAAACCTTATTAACTTTTTCTTTTTTCCTCTACTTTATAGGCATTTGCCCGCTATGCTCTTGACTCAGGAGGGCATTTACAACCTCTCTGACCCCTCTGGCCAACAGCTCCTGAGCACACACAAGCAGAAACCCCTTTGGTTGTGTGTAATCCCCCAGCTGGTGTCTATTAAACAACTTCTCTCTAGCCAACACCAGAAAGAGCCAATGACACAAGAGTGGAAAAATTCATCTCTGCCAGTGTCATTTGAGGAGCCAGTCAATCCCAGGAAAAAGGAAGAATTTTATCCTTAAAAAAATTTGGCCTCTTTGTTTTAGTTTCAGGAAATTAGATGATGACTTTGAACATTACCTTATTTCCAGTTAACACCTTTCCCCAAGGAAAGACCACCCACTGCTGATTATTAAAACAATGGCTTCCTGGAAACGATGCACTCCTGCTTCCTCTAAACGACTAACAAGACTAGTCCAGCATGGGACTAGTATAAAGTTACCTGTGTAATTGTTCTCTTTGGGAACCGAGGGAGTGTGACATCCAGTACACTCCCACAGGATGTGTGCATGACAACTATGATCTTTATCCCGTCTCGTACAGTTGGACAGTTGCTTCATTTTCCGTCTTTTCCAAAAAAGATTGCATCACTCCCATCTCCACAATAGCCCCCTTTCTGGTCTGCGACAGGCTCCTCAGTGTCCTCCCTGCCTCGCTTTCATCATCTCATTTCATGACAATTTCATGACAATTAGCTACGAGCTGAAGTCATTCTTTGTACTGAATGACCTCGGCATGCAGCCATTTCTGCAGATTCGAGCACAGGGGGGAAAAAAAGATGTGTGTGTGATAGGCAGGTGGTTGCTGACACACCAAGCTGCCCACTTCCTGTCTCTACCACACGCCACAGGAAATGAACTGTGTCCACACAACCTCTATATCACAAAACAGACCCACTGACCAACACGTAACCACTGATCTAATTTTATTTATTGTTAATAAAAAAATAAATTAAAAAAATCCCGCTGACTTGTGGGTTTGTGGAGGCAGCATATGAGGTCAGATTTC